GGTCTCTCCACCTTGTTCTTTGTCTTCCCAATGGGAATTTATTTAAACCCTTCACTTATTATCCTCTCAAAGGAAGTGTATGGTTGTCCATGTGTAACATTTGTTTGTGTTGGTGTGTCCTCAGTTTCATCAACTTTTCTTGTTAATGTTTCTCGGTAATTGTAGATCTTGTCTAATTTCCTGGTATCATATAATTTCTTCATTCTTTACTACTATCAGTACCTTTATCCCCACTGCTTGCAATCTGCTTACATCTATGCCAGTTCCTATCAAAGTTTATTCTTCATATGTAACAATAGGTTTAAAACAATGTATATCTTTTCTGAAATTTTCCAGTTCCAAATGATACCTATAGTAGTTTGGTAAAATTTCTGTGTTATGAATTCTCCTTTTTGGTAAATTACGTTTTTATAAGCTGTCATGTAATATATTTTTATTTTCCAGCCTTTCTTCTTCATGTTATGATCAGCGCATGTTAAGGTTTTTATTTCGGCATTTGTATTTTTCTGCTGTTAAATAGTTGGTAAAACAGTAATGTCTTAGGTAGGCCGCACGCTGGCATGCGTCAAGACATGTAACAGCCAAAGAAAGGAGCACAGTTGAAACTAATGAGGTTATGAAAACCGCCGCACACCGGTGTGAGTCATGATGCTGGCGTCAGCTTCATGCTGCAGACACGTGCAGCTAGACTCAGCATGTTCCTTTTCTGTGCGTCAGGACTGAGACATCAGTACTCAAGTAACAGCACCAGTGTACGTTATCAACATGAGTGAAGAGCAAACAAATATTAAGATAGTGCAGACGGTTGAGAAATTCCTGGTAATATATGATTATCAACTAGAGAAGATGTGATAAGACGCAGACACATGCTGCTTCGGTGTGCGGACTCGAGTCTGAATCACGAATGAAGTGAGAATGTGTCTCTTGTCTTGACGCAGTTGGTGTGCGGCCGCCCTTACAGTTGTTTAAAGTTCATTAGACACAATACATTGTTTCTTAACACAAGGAGACTTCCCCCCTTTTTTTCTTGTCTTGCCAGGATATTTTTGTTACACTGTCTACAGTAGATGACTCTCTGTACTTCATGTGTAACACAGAAGACTTCAAGTTTCTGGCAGATATGATTCAGCATGTCCCCCTTCCTCTTCGTGCCCGGTATGTCTTCTGTTGTGCTCCAATCAACAGGAAGTTACCATTTGTCTGCACCATGTTCCTCAAGGTAATGTTGCAGTGTATGATATAATAATATAAAGTGTAAATTTAAAGACCATACTTGCCATCATGATTAAGTACAACATTAACAAAAGTTATTGGGTATGTACTTTGAATACCCCAGCATTAGACAAATATTAGCAGTACTGTTTTACCCCTAGGGGGAGAGTTGCAATATCCATTGAATTTGAAACTGGGTGTGCCTCATACATGAACTAAAAATTGAACCTCACCTATCGGTCAGTGTCACTTTACTGACTCATAAAGTTGGTGGTGAGGAATATATGGAAGTGGGCATGACACATTGAGACTCATGAAAGACATGCATAGGCACATCATAAATGTGCTGGAAAAATGTCTAAAAAATATGTGACAAGTTCAGTAACATTCACAACAAGAGGACAAGCTAGTGGTACTAGTCATTTATCAGAGTTGATAAAATATATAGAGAAATTTAATTACTCATCGCCTGGAAAGAAATAACATCTGGTCTTCCACATGGTAAGATATGAAAAGTCTCATCTTATGTTCAGTCAGTCATACTACATCTTTTGTAAGTAAAAACCTCTACTGTGGATGGATGTCATTTACTTCCGTATCAAGCCATCTTAAAAATTAACACAAGCAAGAACTCACAACTGAATATTACTGGGACAAAAGAAGGCATCTAAATGCATGAACGTTAAAACCAACCAGCCAAAATTCAGGTGCTTTAAATGTGTTAATAAATATGATAAAAGTGTGCATGTGTACTACTGTTGCAGTTTGCACGGCAGTACAGCAAGAACGAAGCACTGTCTCTGGACTGGCTGTGTCGTAACATTGGCTGGCCGTTTGCTTCTCCCAAGACTATTATTGATCTTGTCCATTTGGAAGCTGTGTTTGATGTTCTGGACTTGTATTTGTGGTTCAGGTATGATGGGAGTCTTATTTGGCTGTAACTAAATGACCAGTTAGTACTAATATTGACCCCAGTTTTTCAATATTCTCATCTTGCTAGCCAAATGATAAGACTTTTATTGTCTGTATGCAGTTATCGCTTCATGGATTTATTCCCAGCTGCCAGCCTTGTACGTGATATGCAAACAGAGCTTGATGCCATGATCCAACAGGGTGTGTTCCAACTAACTCGCCTTCTCAAGAACTCTGAGACAGGTGTCAGTAGTGGAACGTTAGCTGCTATAGATGAAGATGACTTTGCTGTTAACCGACGGAAGCAATCCTATCTCCGAGGTAGTGTGCCATGATTGATGTTCTTTTTTGTTCTTTCCAGCACTTATTAATTCATGCGAGTATATACAGTAATTTATTAATGGATAGTCATAATTTGCAGTGAGTATTGATATATTTAAATTTTAAAAATTGTAGAAACAAAAAGCAGTGAGATGCTCCAAATTGGACGAGGTCGCCTGACAGAGAAGCTTCTTGCACAGGGTTTACTTACACCAAACATGCTGCAGGAATTACGCAGAGAGTGGACACAGGTATGTTGGATCATTTGCTCATTTGAACTTCATGTGCATTCATCTTTGCGTCTTTCTGTTCACCTTTGTATCTCCAATATAGTTCTTTGGAGGTGAATTCATGTGGTGTGGCTGATAGGTATGCAGTTTGTAATTTATTTTCTTCGAAAGTGAATTTGTTTCTTCCAGACTGGTTACAGTGAACCTGATGATTCTCCACCTTCACATACAAAGAAACCACGACAAAGGAGAAAACCCAAGTAAATATTTCTCTCCATATTACTGCAGCTGTGAGTCTTCAAAAGTTGGTATCAGTAAACAATTTCCACTGTATAGTGTGATGTGCTGTAAATCACTGTCAGTGGTTGTTTAGTTCAATATCCTTGTAGTGTATGTAAGAGGGCACTTAATTACCAACTTTACATGCTGTAAATATGATATTTTGCTGAAGTGTTGGCTTCTTCTGATCTTGAATAAATTTTGAAATTGGACTTGGAAGGGATGTGCATAATCTAAATATTTTAATATACCTTATTTTCGCTTGTTTTAATGACTAGTACTTTGAAATGGTACTCTGTCCTCATATCCCAAATCATCTATCTGATATTATGAGGTCTGATCTGAAACACTGAAGCCATGTGTTTCTAAAGAGGGATCATCAGTTCAATGGTGTGACATACCAAGGGAGGCATAATGTTATGCAGTACATAAAATTTATGAAAGTAGACAGAGTACTTACCATTTCTGGATCTGTTCTCCTTTACTATGAACTGGTCCAGCTTGAACCACAATCAGTAGAAGACAATGGGGCACATCAAAGTTCTGTGAAACAAAATATCCAGTGCGTATTATTTCACATGTAATCCTCATCTGTTGCTGCCTAACCTTCTACTTAAGAAGACCACTAATCAAAATGGGTTTAAAAAAATAGTAGTTAGTTATATATAAAAGAACTCTGTTTTCATCAAATTCATAATGTGTCAAAACCTCATCACATTTATTAAAATGTGTATCCTCTAGATATCCAGTGCAGTACATAACTAGAAATGTAACACATTTCCAATTCATCCGTCTTCACTGGTCTATAGTATGGCATGAGAAGAGTTCAAGAAAATTAATGATGCCCAAACCGTCTACTTCTGCATCATGTCAGTGCTCTCTTCTTACCAGAGGTGTGTGAACGTCTATATCTTCAAACTCAGACCTAGTTTCTAAACTCAAAGTTCATTAAGTTCAAATCTGAGTGTTATTGCAAATTCCAGCAGAACACTTGCAGTTCATAATGCCACCAGATTTATCTTATCAGTAAAGTGCTTTATGAACAGCCCACTAAAATAATGTATGAAAGATATTTATCCATTTAAGTTTTGCACATTTTGTCTGAACATCTTCCAATATTTCTTAAAAATTAATTTTGGACTTCAAGTAAGGTGGCCATTATTGTTTAATTTTGAATTTTAGATTTGTCAGAAATCTGTTCATACACAAAATATTGTCATAGTCCTAATTTGGAGTTTCATGCAGAAATGACTGCACAGAACCGAGTACAATTAAATTTCATTAAAATCCCTTCACTAAAGGTGCAGTTTTCTTTTGGACAGTGACAGCAGTCAATTCTAGGTGGCTTTCAAAATACGAGGGTGAGTCAAATGAAAACCGTAAAACTGAGATAAAAATTCGAAATATCGCGCCATTGTCCTATAAGTTGGCAGACATGTTACCAATGCTATAAAGAGTATCCTATAGGTGGCAGTATAATGCAGACAAACAGAACGCCATCACAGTGCGAGTTTGAAGATGGCTGCTCCACTAGTTATATGTGCGAAAGAAGAACAACGTTCTGTAATTCGTTTTTTGATCAGTGAAGGTGTGAAACCGATTGAAGTTCATCGACGGATGAAGGTTCAGTATGGTGATGCATGCTTGTCACAGCAGCAAGTGTACGAGTGGAGTAGAAAATTCAGAAATGGCGTAACTCTGTGGCAGACGCTCCTCGCCCGAGTCAGGCGCACAGAATTGTGACCCCTGAGTCTATTGCAGCAGTTGAAACCCTAGTGATGGAGAATCGCCAAGTGTCGGTGGATGAAATAGCCGAAACTCTTAACATGAGTCACGGATCAGCACACCATGTCATTCATGATGTGCTCCAGTTTCACAAAGTGTCTGCAAGGTGGGTGCCACGGCAGCTGACTCCAGAATTGAACCAACGACGTGTTGACGCCTGAGAATTTCTGCGGCTTCCTTTCGAGAATCGTTACTGGCGATGAAACTGTGCACTACCACCAACCGGAAATAAAGAGAACGAGCAAGGAATGGCGTCATTCCTCATCACCAAAACCCAAGAAGTTCCGGACGCAGCCATCTACAGGGAAGATTATGCTGACTCTCTTTTGGGGCGAACGAGGCGTACTCTTGGAGCACTACACGCCTCGGGGGAACACTATCACCAGTGCCTCATATTCAGATCTCTTGAAGAATCATCTTTGACCTGCAGTCGGATCAAAAGCAACGTGGACTTTTGACTAGGTGTCCTTTTGCAACAATCAAAGACTTGCACTTTGAGCGTCTTCCACATCGGCCATACTCACCAGACCTAGCCCCAAGTGATTACCACATGTTTGGACCACTCAATGAGGTGATGGGAGGAAAGAAGTTCCATTCTGATGAAGAGGTACAGCAGGCAGTGCATGAGTGGTTGCGCAGACAACCACAAGAATTTTTTCTAGAAGAATCCACACTCTTTGTAAACGCTGGAGGGCCTGTATTAAACGAAATGGAGACTATGTAGAAAAATGATATAGTTGTGTACCGCTTTCATTCAATAAATTAAATTTAATTTTTTTTTACGGTTTTCATTTGACTCACCCTCGTAGTTAATAATGAATTTAAAAACTTGAAACATTTATTAATGTTATCAAAACATCCAATTAATTATCTACATGTCACTACTCACTGGCAGAAAACGCCAACTGTGCCAACAAATGTGGAAGGTAACACACTGTTGCTATTGGACAGACAGTATTGTGGAAAGTATACAACTATTCCTAGCATATTCATTTTAAATAATAAATATATACACACAGAAATGAAGAAAGAAAAAAACAACATGAAAGTGTTCTGTGTCACTATTGCTAACATTTTGACATCCACTTCAAAATATGAATAACAGACAAGGGGAACATATATTTACTAATTTTATGTTCGTTAAGATATTTATACGTGAAATAAATATATCATAATTCTATCAGAATTCTGTCCTGCCATACCAATAACAAAATATCTAGAGAGTTCAACAGTGTACCTGATATTCACATAAATTTAAATGAAATCTGTTCGTAGAAAACATGGTCACAGCTAATGGCTCATTGTAAATGAAACACTGAATTTTAACATTTTCACCATGTTACCAAAATTTATAATAAAGCTCATGCATAAGCTACAACAAACTCAAACCTTAGCTTATTAGTTTTGTAAAGTTTGTAATCAAAAGATGCACAAATGTCCAATAATGTGTTTTTCAATTGTATATTCCAGTATCATGCTTTTTGACACATTTATCTATATATCTCATTACTATGAGAAATTACAAATTAAAATTCTATGAACCATGTAACAACTTATTCATAAAACTAAATGGCACAAAATAATATATGTATTTCTACATTCTTATATATACTGTTAGATTATGCATAACAAAGCATAAAATAAAAATTAAATATCACTTACACACAAAGGATAATCTATATTCTAAATTTACTGTTGCCTCACCCCTATAGCAGGTTACAGCATAGGAGAAGGCAATCGAATCACATATTTGATCTGAAGATTAAAGCTCTTTACAGGATGTTAAATACACTTTGAAAAGTCAGCTGATTAATTTGTATACTTAAGTTCCTGTATAAAATTTACTGATGAACCAAATTATTCAACTCGTGACTTTTATGCCCCTTCTGATTAGCTAAATTCACTGTATCTTAATGCTACCAGTTACTTAAAATGCCCTTTACTACACTACATTTGATTATATTAAGTGTGGTATGTGATAATTAATTTTATTGTTCTGCCACATCAACTACTTCATAATAACATGTCACCTGAAGTCTAGAGCTAGGAAGAGTTACATTTTTATGCCTCTAAATCAAACAATGCAAACTCAGAACAGAGACACTGATGCAATTTCAAATTTATGTGTCTTAAATTCAAAATTGTTACCACTTTATACATATTTTGTATATATTTTTACTAAACTTGTTCCACTGCAAGAATGAAACAATTATTTGTAGAGGACGTACAAAACAGACAGAAAACGTTCATATTGACCATTTAACTGAATTCTAAACAGTTACATTCCATCCATGTAACTTGCATGGGACAGATGAGAAATGTATACAGAAATTTAGTTGTAAAGCCTAAGTGAATAAACGACTTGTAAGACTTAAGCTTACTTGAGAGAATAATATTGAAATTAATCTTGAAGGAAACATGACGTGAAGGTGTGGACAGAACCCAACAGTAGGCTCTTATGAACACAGAACTTTCGAGTTTCATAAGAAGAGAACTTGACCAGAATTTAAGATAATACATTTATGCATGAAGGTGGTAAGACTGAACAAGTGAATTCTTCAAGTGTTAATGTTATTTCCAACACAGGTACTACATAGTACCAAATCAACAAGACCAATGTTTTGCTTACTTTCTCACCATAAAATCTGAATATGTGAGACCACATGTATCACATTAATAACTTCTGAATTGATCAAAAATGTTCTTGAACTTAGGAATATCATCAGAAATACTCAACCCTATCCCTCTCAAAGACAATAACTACACTTAATACCACTTTCAAATTATTTTGCCTAGAATCTGCATAGTGCTACTATCTGTACAGAATTTGGGGTTTATAATAAATAAATAAATAAACAAACAAAAAAGCAGCAGCAGCTTCTGAAGAACCAGGGCAGTTGTATGCCTATGATGTTACAAGAGTGTGAACTGTTATGCATATTTAATGTTTTCTTCTATTATCTGACTACTAGGCAACTTACCATTCAAAATGTTTAAAACAGTACATAGTGACAATGAAATGACATATAATGTTACAACATTGTTACATCTTACTTGGATCCAAGATTTTTTTTGTGAGAAAACTGTTAACATAAATATATTTCTTATAAAATTTGCATGTTTATAATCTTTTTGTTTATTACTGACAACTAAATAGTATTTCACAAAGCTTGCGTGGTGACATAACTCAATAAAATCTTCTTGGGCGATCAGCTGCTTCAGATGGTTAAAAGACAAAACCGATGTTTCGGAACCCTGATGATGTGGACAGAGATGGTCCGTGAAACATCGGTTTCGTCTTTTATCCATCAGACGCGGCTGATCGCCCGAGAAGACTATTGAATTTGTACTATGTTTATTATCTCCATAAAAGTTCTATGTGCCTAGTTCTAATCATTCGTTTGGAAGTTCATTACACTAAAAACTAAACGTACATTCCCCACTGCTGCTATGACACAAAAATAAATGTCACAAATTTTATTTCTATTTTTAGAGATGTATTATCAGATACATTTTGAGGACTCCACATTATGCAATTCTACATTTGCTCCCAACTGACATATTCACACATCATACCGATATTTATGATATGAAATTAAAAAGTATAATGGCATGGCCTCCACATTGTCATCATACATAATTGCATAAAATCTGTCAGCCAGTTCAAAAGTTACTGGCAGTGGGACAAATATAGAGAGGTATGATGATACCATCAGCATACCTTTCATTGTACAATTAGAAAAGTATATGAAATATTTTTACTACATCTTGAAAAGCGTATCTGCATGCCTGTAAATTACAAATATGTGACCAATATAAATTTGTACATCTATTATGATAACACTTACATTTGCATTAGCCCTTGTAAAGGAAACCACATATACAGAAGTGTACATAAATAGGAAATATATTCATTTTATTGCTGCCTGCCATATTCTCCAAGCAGCACCAACTTGCATTATCACTTCTCTTGCTACTATACCATACCAAAGGTATATGCAGAATTATCAACCTAAGCTGGTAAGATTCCACTTACTTTGTATTGTATTCTATCAGGTACTTAAGAATTTCACTCATTAATTATCAGTGTGGCTTCAAGTCAAATATTTCGATAAGAAGAGGTTCAACGTCTTTTGGATTCACGTCCAAGTACACCCGGACGTGGTCATCATTCAGACGGTGAAGTTCTGAAATCTTCTGAATAAGCTTAAGAAAGACTGAGCGTGCTTCACAGCCAGGATATATGCTCTCCAGGTAGCGGCGAAGTAAGTAGTAATAAGAATTCTGGAAACAAAACAGTAATGAGCAGCAAGTACATGAATTTTAAAGATCACACATACAGCCAACATATATATTTTGCCCTGGAGGTTCATGTTGCATTACTTTCAGCCATGATTCACAAATGTGCATAATTTTCTTTGTCTGTCTGAGGCATACAGTTGAAATGAAGAAGACTGTTCTAAAACTGTGCTTGAATATTACACAAGCAACTGGAAATGTAAACTGTAACTGTGAACATTTTTTAAAAATGTTCACTTATTATACCATACCTACTACATAGCTTATTACTAAATTTCCCTTTGTAGTTTTATATAATTACAATTTAGACTGTTTACAGTTTCACTCCCTTGGAAGGAAGGGAATAGTTCTAAAAATGCAAAACATTTACTGCAACAATTTCTCAATTATATACAACCACCATCTCCCAATTAAGGACAAATATACTTGATCTGTGACTGTATGTAGCCAAGAGATTCATACACACATACACAGATCACACAAATGAACAGCACTTCATACTAGGAGACATGGACACTTCTGCAGGCCGAGATGTGAGAAATTCACTCTCTTCACATGAATGGGATTAAAAGACAGAGAAGTGGGGAGGTAATTTACAGACAGACAAACCTGCTCCAGTTTGATGACATCGTGATGGACTACCCGTGGTCTGTCTGGTGTGAACAAAGTTATGGCACTAAGTATCAACATGATATTCTCATCTGTGCGCCATCGGGGATCAAACGTGCGTAAAAAGCGCTGATGTTCCTCATAAATGTTGCCGCTTGCTTCCTTCAGTACATCCACCTTCACGTTTAGATATTCTTGTGTGTGAGGGATCTGCAAACAGTCTTGCTTTCAACTTCACACAGTCAGTACAGCAGAGAAGGATACAGACTGAGGAAGTTTGGAAACGAGAGTCTGAGGAGAACAGTTGAACATAAGCATGAGGAAGCAAAATGAGGCCAGGGAAAAATGCACAGTTAAGAGAATGAAAAAGGACATGGGGGTGTGGACTAATTTCATCTGGTAGGACAGGGTTCAATGGCTAATGAATCTTCCGTCTCAATTTCTTGACTTACTGAGAGACTATCAGTTTCTCAAGAACTGTGCTCCAAGGAGTTACTTAAAATTAATGTCAATCATATATTAAACAGTAAAAACAGAAGTATTACAGCATTTCAGCGTTTGTAAAGAAGATAGGATGAAAAATATTTTTTGTCATGTATATTTTTCCATAAAAAGTGAAACTAATGTATTTTACCTTCCACAGATCTGTGTCAGGATCATACGTCATTGCACTGCGTAGAATAAGGATTTCAGTACACCCACCCTTCAGCAGAGCAACCTGATCCTCCTGACACATGTTCTTGAATGCATTGATTTTCTTGGAAGTTTTGATGAGGCGTCGAATTGCAATAGCAGTCAAATTGATCACATCCAGCAACATTGGACTGTGTTCTGCATTTGTCTAAGTACAGAAAATGCTTTAATTTTCTCATACATCTATATGTTTTCACTTTTACATAAACAACTTCAAAATCAATCACTGTAGCAGATATAGTAAAATACAATTGTGTCACCTCCATCTTCAGAGTAGAAGTGAAGGTGAAGCTGACGTTCTTCCATAACATCAATAACCACCTATAAGACTACAGGGCGTCACAGCTTGGCAGATGACAATATACAGAAAAAAATATATAGTTCTTAGAAGGCTCAAAGAGAGGAATATTTTATTTTCAACTAAGTGGAAACAAATTCTTCTTTCTGCATATTGACTCATAAATTTTGGTAAAAAAATGACTGTTCTTAAATGTCACAAAAGTTCTGAGGTTAATCATTGAAATTTACAGCTTACGAAACAAATTACCCGACAATTATGAAACAGAATAAACCTAGTAGAATTGTCATACAGTACTATAAATCGAAAAGTTTGTGAAGAGGGTGTTATTTTATTAACCTTTATCATACAGGAAAAGGTAATTTAAACTCCTGGTAACAGTTCATCGTATGTAAAGTTGGATGCTGACACAAGGATAACAAAGGTTAAACGGACACAGATTCTGAACTTCTGCTATCATGTAGGATTTAAGGTTCTCATGGCAATGCCTCACTAAATAAAAATACATTTGGAGCTAATCTATTTGTAATTCACTTTACGTTACCTTAATGAAGCATGATATGCCAAAGAAATAGCTTATTTACAATTAATTCTATATATTACATTACATAAGCAATTTTGTGTCAAAGAAATAATAACTGAAGAAGCTCCCAACAGTCTAACAGGATGTTAAAACTTATCTAACTGTAAACTTTGTGGGATTCAAAGATAATATTTCACAGTTGCATTTTAAGTAATACATATATTATGCTATGTATGTTACTGCTAAAAACAGCAGGCATACATTGATAGAGTTTACATACATATATCTTACAACAGAATAGAATAAAATATTCAAGTAAATGCACAGAAATTTTTCATATGCTGCAAAAAGAAACCTGACATAGGAGGAAAAAGTCTTTGTTGGGAAAGAACAGACAAAAAAGGTAATTTTCAGACTAGCTTATGGTTTAAAAAAATGTTTGAACTGTCTCCCATTAATATTGTAGTTAGACTGCGTAAGATTTGCATGTACAAACTCAGGCTCTTGAAATTCCTGTCCATTCTTTACAAAAACTACAAATGTTTTTAAACTAAGATATGCAATAGCCAGTAGCTTAATTGCAGCATAAAATTATTCTCACACAAATGTAAGTTTCCACTGATCCAGAACAAACCTTGAAACGGGTGTCATCACCAACCAAGGTTGAAAGGTCATCGTCCAGAGGTTCATGAAGAGCCTTGTTAGCAACAATCAGCTCATTCAACTTGGCTCTCTCAGCATCATTTAGCTCACGTGAGTTCTGATGTGACTTTGCCAGAGAACTGTAAGCCTCAAACTCGAGTTTTATGGCCTCGCTCAGTATTGACTCTATTGAATTTGGAGCTATTGGAATTCTGGAATTGTAAATAATTATATACATATATCTGTCATCATCAAATCATGAAAATCACAAATTCCACTTAATCCAAAAATATAATGACTGAAGCAGGGCTGTATTTTGAGATATGTTCAAACCTTCATGAAAGGTCTGCAAGACAAGATAGAATTTCATCCAACAGTTGAAAAATACTGTTTCAAAAGCAAAGTTCAGTGATACAGACAAAAATTAAAGTCAAGACCAGTTCAATAGTGAATCTGCGTAATAAAATGTGTCCTCAGATAAATTATATCTGAGAACACCCTATCAGAACTGCATTATAGATGGGCTACTGAAATGCAGTAATCACATGTATCAGGAAATGACACATTCACACTTGGATTTGATAAAACTTTGCTAACGTAACTTCAAAGTGAATTAAATATATTCAGACACATAAAAGCCAATATTTAAAATTATTTACTGCCTCTGCATGAAGAAAACGGAAGGTGGCACAGCCTCAACAAGTGGTAATATTTAAGTTACATGAATGCAGTAATTTGGACCTACAATCAGCATTGTTTCATGCATCTGTCACAGCTAAAGGAAGTCATTCTTGCTGTTATGTGATTTCTACATCAACATCTCAAATAACCACAGTTTAAAATCTTTTTAATCATATTATTCCCAATTTCCCTGAAAGAAGAAATATAAAACAAAAATGCAATACCTTTGTACATCCTGAAGTATTTCTTTGGCAGCATTTTCCCTCAAGTTGTTGTGTGCCATGCCATTCCACTGGCTGTCAGTGGATGTGATCATGTCATTCCGTCTTCTACTGTTCCAACTGCTGACATTCTGGGATGCAGAAACTTCTTTCTTTATAACAGAAACAACAGGAGCTGGCTGTGATGATGACATAATGTAAGTTTCAGGAGACATCTCATCAGTCTTCGCGCTACTGATGAGGGACGAAAGTAGAGGTGTGTCATTACTTTCAGGAATATGTGCTTCTCTGGATGTGTGATGAAGTATGGACCTCTGCATTACAGAACCATCTTGATCACTCATACAAGGATGGGAGAGGACCTGTGATGGCAGAACTGGTGATGTTATAACACTCACTGCACAAATATGCTTGTTTGTATTTTCTGAAAGCATTTCTAATGTTTTTGAAGCAGCTACAGTAGCACTATCTGGGGGAGAAGATGGACTAGGTATGCTTGCAGCTGAAGTTGGTGATGGGAATGGTTCTGACATCTGATGGCGGTCAGTGGATGTCGAAGCTCGAGGACTTATCGTGTGAAGTCTGTATAAATCTTCAAAGTTTTGGTCAGGCTGTCGCGCATCATCTGCAATCCAGGCCTTGCTTACCTCTGGTGCAGACAATCTGTCTTGGTCAGGACAACTAGACACTGATGACACAGACAACCCTGGGTCAGCCACAGACTCTAAAGTATCATCCAATAGTTCACGCTTTAATTTGGAATGATTTTCTCTATCACTTAGTGGTCTTTTCTTTGCACGGTTTAACTCAATCTTTTGTCTCTTCATCACTTTATCTTCTTCAGACATGATGTAATCTTTGCGCATTCCTATCGCAAGGCATTTTTGCAACCTACAGCGCTGGCAGAATCTTCGAGTCACAATGGTAATGTCACAGCTTTCAGTGAATGGACATCGAAATTCCTGGAACAATATACAGATTTCAACAATATATGCAAATGAATGGAAAAATGTTTCTTTTCTTTCTTTTTTCTTTTCTTCTCTCTCCCTCTTTTTTTTTTTCAGGCACAGTGGCCAGTCTCAGATGTGGGCCTTGTGCACTTGGACTGTGGATTTGAACCCCACTCAAGGCATGGATGTTTGTCCTCATTTCTCTGTGTGTTGTGCTGCCCTGTGTACAGGTAGAGGCCTTGCAACAGGCTGATCACTCATCCAAGGAGTCCTACCAAATGTCTAAATAGATGAAGTAACTTCCAAAAGACGCAGCCAAGACCCACACTATGTTTCAGAGCCACAGATGATGATCATGATATTTTCTTTTTCAAATTTTTCCATTTTGATTTTTTCAAAAATCAAAATGGAAGTGGGAGGAAGAAAGATTAGTAAGACTTATGTATACTACAAATATGGATTCTTCAAAACTCTCATATTGAGAAAGTGGGGGAAATATTCAATATATCCAAGCACTTTTGTTCTACTACATACTTCTTTCTTATTCAGCTGCTTACTTACATACACTTCGGCTTCACAATAACGTCTGCTCCATTAACAATAAAATGTGTTGCATACAGAACGTACACATAAATAACTGAATATATGACATATATAATTTGAAATTTACTAAAACTGATCTAAAATATTTCTGTTCCTTAACAAATGATTTCATAAAATAATTAAAATTATTTCCGGTCATATCCACTTCACCCAAACTAAAAGTTTAGTGAAACCATTAGACCATAAAAACTTATTGATGTGAATGCCCATCATGAAATTTCCAGATACTCTTATTCTTCCTCAATGCAAGTACTTCACTACAAATAAGGTCTTACTACAAACACTGTATGATGCAACCACAGTACCATCGACTGTGTGAACATGTTGTTTTGACGACAATGGACTCTAGACCTATACAAGCTGCACCTAATACTGCACTAGTTAGACACAACTATATTACAACTGCACAAGTCCAAATAAGTGGTTTCTTTACCGGATTAGAACACATTAAATGTGGCTATTATACATGAATGCTTAGATTAGAAAATAAAGTTCTAGCAAAACACAGAAACCTATCATGATTTAGGCACACTTTCAAACTTACTTTGTTCTTGAGGGCATTTCTTCGAAAGAAGGCTTTACAAGATTCGCACGTGACTGCATTAAAATTATAACCCAGGGCTCGATCACCACACACACCACAAATTTTGGGATCACCTTTCAACCCAGGAATATCTGGCGCAGGGGACTTCACGTCAGCATCCATTATCATCAAACTCTTCTCGATTCTACTAGCTAGACATAATGTGCAATATTTTTAATGAAATCGTAACTGGGCACACTAACCTACACATAATGTAACACACAATTATGAGTCATCAACATACGATGATGTCAAAGATAGGAGCCTACTTCCTCTGGCTCTAATGAAATGCTACTTAAGAAAAACTTACATAACATACAAAAATTGCAGCTACGGACTGTTGTATTACTCAGAAAGACAACATATAAAGTATGTACGGAATGTCATGTTGAAAATATTAGCATTTATCAAAATAATTCAAGAAATAATCACGCCACCACTCCCACCAAAACACCTTGCATTACCATCAACGCCATCTTCCACTTGCAGCATTAATAACTTTCAGAATAACCAACATGCCAACTGCTCAAAGAAATTTCTCTCTAAAACTCGATTATTCAGTATTCTTTACGTAATCACTAATCTCGTGGTATTCTTGTATATGTTATTATTATTATTCAATACAACGAGTGTTGGGACACCAAATATATTATACCAATGACCACAATAGATGGTTCAGGCTTATAAAGATGGCAACAATGCTACAATATCAAAAGAATGAAATTGTCCAGCTATTGCATAAGAGCGGAAAACAGGGTTCATCATCCATATTTCTAAATTTAAACTGAAGCTTTATGCACGGAATATTAAATTAATTACATCACATTCTGAATAGTATGGTTGTTGGAACAGGCACAATATGAAGACAACGGAATTTTAATAGGATGAAAGGTTTCCGCTCAGACGGTCACTATCGAATTCCATTCGGGTCACATTTTTGTGTATTGTTGATTGCAATTGTAAATATGTTTCAGAATGCTATTACTTTTGTTTGGGTGTTATTATCGTGGGTCTTACAATTTCTACGTTAAATCTCATAAAGACCTATCCCACTGTCGTCATATTCGTAATCGTTGGCGACCTAGTGATGCAGGCAGTAAGCACTTCTGAAACATCTGTAAACTTACATGGCACATCCTAGAACACCGACACATTCGTCGTCGCCGTCACGGCCTGAAATCATACCCAGGCAACGTACCAGTTTCTGGTATATGCAGTGGCTGTACGTCTATAAGAGCTGCAGCACCCCCTATAATTTTTCAAAAAATTATTGTTTGTGTTTATATAATTTGTAACACTTTATTTCCTCTGTATCATTATTTTAATATTGCCCTTTACGTTGTCATTATCCACTAATCGGCTGAACTGATAGTAAGTCCACGGGCGAGGAGTGATAAACAGAACGGGGCTATCATCCGGCTGAAAGGATTTCAGCGCGGCTAGACGGTCAAAAGTAGAGAGCGCGGTGCAAGCTGGAGCGACGGGCAGTTCACTTTTACAGCGCGTATCGGGGCTGAAGTCCCCACAGCCGGCTTATAGTAAACATGCTTGCCCGGTACCACGTGTTTTAAACTGGTTTCTGTATCACAAACTGTTTCGTGGTTATTGTTAAGGAGTGTTCAATAATTCTGTGCACTGACTTATTTTTGTTCTGATAATTATAATGAGCAAAGGAAGTGTATCATAGTTACAGCAAATTATCTCTTCTAAATTGTCTTTGAGTTAAAAAGGTAATGTAAAAAATCATGGCCGCCCTCTTCGGACTTACAAATAGTTAAACATCGTCGAGCACGTATGGGTTTTCTCCTGATGTAAATTTACTGTGCGTTCATTTATATTGTTGTGTTGAAAATTATTCTCATTTCCCTCCCTTGCGCAGCACTATCACTGCTCAGAATAGAAAAATGGGAGTAATACTCAACTACTATATGTAACCCCTTCTTATTTGAAAACCAGTCCAAGGGTAATTTCTCGGTAGAAAACAGGCATAAATACAGACAGAATATGTTACGTTTAAATGAAAATATACAAATTCTGGTTGAACTTCGGACCAAGACAAGACAAAGCAACCACATCCACGATGTGAAGAACTAACAATTCTTATCCGCCTGTCCGGAAAGTATAATCACCTACAACAGGTGTTTATAATCACTTGTGTTTAATCGTATAGTCCGATAAAACTTATTTCATTTGAAATTATTTATCGAAGTAAGATTTACTGAAATAGAGCCTGCAACCAACATCACCGCTTTAGTATTAGGTTATCATCTTTCTCGGTCAGAGGACAGATTCAATATCTCACATTGGGCCTCCTATTTGCTATTGTACTTTCACATTTACAAGCAGGCGTGTTGGGTGTAACCTTTGGGTAAAAAAGAAATACCTGTTACGTCTATTAGGTATGGGCAAACACCTCTTGAGATAAAGATACTCCAGAGAAACATTATCTACATCAGTGATTACCTCACTTATAAGCAAATGAACACAACAGAAGGTTCTCAGCGGACCTATACCGAATATGAACGTGTGTGTCCAGCACGCGGCCGCATTAGTTGAGTATTAAGTTCTTTTATCAATGGATACGTTGAATGGCTTATTTTATTTCGTGATGCTGTATCAACTGCTGAGTTATGTGCAGTAGAAAATTATAGTAGGATGACTGTGAACGATGAAACTGGAGGAGGGGTGCTGTAGTAAGCGGTAGTGGTCTAATGAAAAACTACTCCAGTATAAGTCTACAGGCAACAAGGAAATACGGGGAAATGGTATCAGGAAAGCCTGTTCCCAGTAGGGATTCGAAAAGGGCACTACCGTAAAGCGAGCCAGGCAAGTTACCGCTGAAGGAGACATATGGAGTCTCCGTTACCAATAGCAGTGTATTCAAAATGGTTAATAGCAATAGCTGCATTTTCTAAGAACCAAATACAACTCACAAATAAACTTCGTGGGCAAAATATCGAACCAAGAACTTGCACTGTTACGGCAAATGATAAACATAAATTATCACTGCCCTCTTAAAGATTAATCGACGTTTTATATCCCCCGTAATCTAATTCTGCAGTTACTTTGTAAGGTCATTCCAAAGGAAAGTATTGATGACCCTTACATTAAACTTTAGAAGTCAAGGACTATATTACAGTCTCATGTTTCATTTACCAACACCACATGATTGTATATCAGTTAGTCACTAGGTTCGGGTAGGCCTGTGTGAGTACCAACGCCAACGGACTGCAGAATTACACATTTAGTTACGTATTCATAGACGGAATGGCAGCTCGAGTCAACTCTCAACTTCATATTAAGTACAATTGAAGGAAGACATTTGACCCGCGTAATGAACACAACTAGATTTCTTTGGACAAGGTCGTGGACGAGAGACAGAATAAAGTCGCTCCTAACTGCTTTGTAAGATCCATTCTGATATAATCCTCACATCAACGTCTAGGTCTCCCGTCAGATTTTCCGACTAAAATTTATGTACGAATTTATCAGTTTCCCTATTCATGCCAAACATGTCCTTAATTTGATGACGTTAATAATACAAAGTGTAGAGTACAAGTTATAAAGCTCTTCATTACATAATCATGTCCAGCCACTATTAGATAATGTTTCTTAGATCCACTTTCCTTCGCACTTCGTTTTAATTCTCGTGTTAATCCCGCATATTCTAATCTTAATGTTTTACACATAAACACAGCATAATTTCATGCCAATTTAATCACATGAAAATAAAAACGTTAAAATATTTTTTTGGGAAAATAAATTGTGGTTTGTGTTCATAACGTAAATTATTGCATCGACAAAGAAACACACTCAGACCTCATAGTTCAATTATTGTCCTGTAGAATAAAAATTGTCTTGGATATTATCCATCGTCTAATAAATATAAAACGTAAAACGACGTTTCGGAGATGGGACTCTATCTCCGTCTTCAGGTTCCTACACAGTTGGG